ATAGAATTCATGTGGATTTTGTAAAGTTTTAATTATGATCTTTAATTATTATGAGTTTTAATTATTGCTGCAATAATGTAATTAGTTCAATCATTTTCCACGAAGAAGTCTCCAAAGAGTTTGTAGTATCGTAAAATAAAAAATCGGTCATTTTGACCGTGGTAGATTTACTGTTAAAACAAACATGTGAAATTTCGGGCCAACATGTATCTAAGGCAGAAAATGCGCGAATCTTCTTCGGCCGAGGATCGAATTAATTTCGGGATCGCAGAGTAGTATCCTTGTTCACACGCGAGAGAAACAACGATCGCCGACGATCAAGCGCACCTCGACGGCAGCGAGGTTCGTCTCGTTAAAAAGATATTCTCCGAACGTTCGCGGGCAAAAAGTCCACGGCACCGAGACCATAGAAATTCGCTGTTTAGCGTGAGCGTCGCGAGGTCTGTGCCTTGAATCCCGAACGATCCACGCTCGACGATCTCGCAGCCGGAACACGACACACGCGACACGCGCGCTCCTGTCCTCGTTAACCGGCTAACGATATTTCAACGTCGCGACGGCAGCGACGATTAACGTCCCTGCAAAATTGTGACGCAGAACCGCGCGAATTTACGGCCGGCCCGGCGCAATGTCCGCTTCCAGTCGGCCGTTTCCGGAAACCAAGAGAGAGACGGTGAGTCGGCGTGTGTGTGTGTGCGAGAGCGAGGGAGCAAGAGAGAGAGAGAGAGAGAGAGAGAGCAAAAGAGGGAGAGGTGAGAGAGGGAGAGAGAGAGAGGAGAGAGAGCAAGAGAGTGAGTGAATGAGAGAGAGAGAGAGAGAGGGAGCGATAGAGCAAGAGAGAGAGAGAGCGAGAGAGCAAGAGAGAAAGAGCGAGAGAGCAAGAGAGAGAGGGAAAGAGAGAGAGAGAGAGAGCAAGAGAGAAAGAGCGAGAGAGCAAGAGAGAGAGGGAAAGAGAGAGAGAGAGAGAGAGAGAGAGAGGAATTCTTCCCGTGCAGCTCGATACCTCCGCCGTTGCGATTCTCGATCGTCGGGATCCTCGATTGTTATCTGGCTCGGAGCATTCTTATCGAGCCGATAACGCCGAGATCGCCTGCGTTCGTATCGATTCGCTTGCTCGCGATCACAGATTACGAAACCGGAACGAATAAATACCAGAAAGACCGGCCGAATTTATGGACAATCAACAAGTATTGTTTGCTTCGGTGTTTCCAGTTGGAACAGCACACACTCGGCTTCGGTGTTCCGTTTTGTCAAACCGTGGACTCATCTGTTGATAAAAAGGGATGTTGTTCGGCGCAGGTGTTATTCAATTTTTAACAATGTGAGACGACGTTCTAGCTACTAGAATTCGCTTTCTAACGATCGACTAGATTTTTCAATTGCTTGTCAGACGATCTTATCGATCAAATCTAAAGATCGAAGGAATGTAATACAGGAACGAGCGAGTATCAACCGAGATCTTTCTAGCTGCCAGTGATCCACAACAAAGTCTCAAGACCGAGATAATTTGAGATCATTGTTTCAACACATTTCTTCTTTGTTTTACCGGTATGACTACCTAAATGTATGCTAAACATATCGATATTTTCATATATCGGAATAATGTTACGCTGATCCAGTAAATTCTCCCTAAAAGGCCAGCAGCTCGAAATTGAAAACGGTAATCGCCGGACAATCGGACACGATTCTTCGAGTCTCGCGACTCGTTTTTCTAGAAACTCGGGACAGTCAGAAAAAAGGCAGTGGCCAGCATGCCGGTGTACATCAATATGAATGCATAGTAACGCTAGAATAAAAACGACGACTTAACTTTTTTATTTCTAATTTCTTGCCACGATTCGAAGGCAATAATTCGGAGACCGCGTAACGCGATTCGAGGGCAATTCGGAGGTCACATGTCACGATTTGACGGAGAACTTGACCATCAACCGCCGTTGCGGTTGGTCACGTACCTTGCAGCTTCGCGGTTTTTCTTACCTGACTCACAGACGAACAGACAATTTTGCGTTGTCTTCCGTGGAACCTTAGCATCGACGTAGCAATAAATCACATAGGCGTAGGACTGGGTCGGGGAAATTCGCAGCAACCCGAAATAACAATGGTACAGCTAACAAATGAAAAATGATGGTACAGGTAATGCCGGTACAGTAAATTCTCCCTAATTGACGGTCGGCTTGTACACAAAGATGGACAATTTTTTTTAAGCCTCGCGATTCGTTTTTATGGTCACCGATTGTCAACGTTTCTTATACCGGTATCAGTTTTCGATGCGTAGTCCTCCGAGTGATCACTGGTCTCTTGGAAGAACGCGAGCAAGCAATTGTCCACGCTTTATCAGAACCTGCTCGCGGGATTCGCGCGGCCTAACGAAAACAAATCGAAAATCCGCGAATTCGCCGAAAGAGTGAAAGAGAGAGAGAGAGAAGAACGCGCGAGAATGGTTACGAGTGGACCGCGCGGACCGCAAAGTGTTAAAAAGAGTCCCGTATCTCCGTCTCTGTCGCTCGAGCGGGGTGCAAACGATTTCAAGGGTCGTTACGTTCCCCTCGAGTCTGCGGTGCAGCGAAATGCAGCAAAGTGAAGCAGACCGAAGGACATGGGGCCCGTTCCTCCGTCTTTCTCGGCTCGTTATTCCGGTCAGGGACCACCTCCTGGCGTGGCGGCGGTCCTCATTGTAGGACAAGTAGTCGACGACTCTCTTTTGCCTCGGAGGGTCGGGAAAAGCAACACCGACAACGCCGAAGGTCGTTATGAAGCGAAACGAGGCGCCTACCGATCCTCTTCTTCTCGCTGCTGCGGCTGCTGTCCCCCTCCCGCCCCTGTTCCCCCCTCGACACTCTCACCCCACCAGCCTCTTCTTTCACCCCCGCCCGCATTGTCCGGTGGCCTCTCCCCGGGATACCTTCAGCCTTCTTCCTCGTGTACGCGTCCATTTCGGCCAATCTTACCCTCGGACCCCCGGCCTCCTTTTGTGACTTCTCGATGCTTCACGATGCCTGCAACTCTTACCCTCGCGTTTGGGATCTTCCTCCGTTTCCTTCCTGACCTCGCCTTCAACCTACGAATTTAGCATTTGGGTCCACGGACCTCTTGTTCTTCCTTCTTCCGCTCCCCTGGTTCGACGACCTTCGCTTTTATTTGCCTGCTGATTTCTCGACTGTCCGACCTTTCGGTGCTCAACGTTAACGTCAAACGTCCCGAAGGTCGAATTTATGTAAACTTCTCCTTACTTCTGTTAAAGTGTAGGCGCGAGTTAAGAGACTTTCCGACAGTTTTCAGGAAAAAGATATGAAAGCGGCCACTTGGATCAACGCGTAGGTTTAGTGTCAAGCGTACACTTCTGAGTCCCCGAGACATCATCGAAACGACCGGCTTCACAATTTTACAAATCTTAAGAAGTATCGTTCGTGGAATGCTTGAATAAACTATATTATATTGGGTTGGCAACAAAGTAATTGCCGATTTGTTCAATGAAATAAGAAATTTTTTTTACTTGGAATGAAGTTTAATCTGTAATGTATTTTCCATTTTGTTCGATGACCTTTCGCCGTCTCTCTGACAACTTGAAAATTCCACGCTCGTAGAAAGTCTGATCCTTTTCGGCCAAAAACTGAGTTCAGTGAGATTTTACAGCGTCATCGTCGTTAAAAGTTTTACCGCGAAGGGAGTTGTCCAGGGATCGAAATAAGTGGTAATTCGATGGCGCGAGATCAGGGCTATATGGTGGGTGTAACATCAATTCCCAACCAAAATTCATTAATTTTTGCCGAGTGGACAAAGACGTGTGTGGCCTAGCATTGTCCTGGTGGAAAATGACACCTTTACGATTGACCAATTCTGGTCGCTTTTCCTTTACCGTTGCATTCAATTTGTCCAGTTGCTAACATTCACGGATAATAAAAAAATAACATAATAATAATAATAATTTTATAATATAACATTTACGGATATCATAAAAATGGGAGTGAGAGACATCTATAACTGAAATCGGCAATTACTTAGTTGCCAACCCAATACTAGCACATTTATAATGTCAAGTTGGCGCATTTACAGCCTTATTGCGTATAGCCAGCGTCATATATGTGGACCGTTTATCCTTAAAGTGCTGCAGATCCATTTCTTTTTCAGTTATAAATAAAAAGGTACAAAGGTACACTAAATTAATCACAAATTATATATCTCATTTTTTTTTTTAATGAACTTACACCATTTTCGAAATTCGAATTCTGCGGACATTCGTGTGACTCTTTAATAGGCCGAGTTTATTCATTCAAGAGACCAGACTTCTTTAAAAATGTATCGAGACAAATGGGTCATATTTCGATTACCTGCTGCTCGGCAGGTTTAGCGTTAAACGATCGCCATGGCGTTTAAGAACGCGACGCACTCGCGCATCCTGCATTTTCCAGCCTCGTTCGAGTCTGCGATCTCGAACTGGAGTCGTCTTGATACAATTTTTACGAAACCCGGCGCTCTGCACACGGAACGCGGAATCCTGATTAGAGAGGCTCGATTGATAATTACGAGCAGTCGGCAGGTAGTTGGATTATTGATTCGATTAATTTTTCACCGACAATGGAGGGCGTCCCTTCGCTCGGCGCAGTTGACCGGCAATTACAGGGAAGAGTTGCGAGCAACAGTTCGCAAACGATAAATCACAACGTTCGAGAGCGTGCCGGCTATCGGTTCTAGAAACGGTACTCCCCGATCGATCCAGCGCGTCGCGAATCCCCGGTGTCATCGACTCTGCCGCGAAATCGTGTGTTTATACGAGCCAGCTACGTTCTTCCCGTAGCTCGGCGCGCCATTCTCGGACGATACTAATCGATTTTTCTTCATTTTAACCCTCGATCGATGTCGCGCATCGCTCGGAAGCTCCCTGACGAAACGGCTGCTCGCGTAGAAAAGCAGCACCGATGAGCCATTTATTACGCCAATTGAAGCACTTCCTGAATTAAAAGGAGGACTGTTATTGATTTTGTGATTACCTCTTTTTGCAGTTGCTGCAAAGGGAAACAGCTGTTCGACGACGGGCAACGCATCCAAAGCTTCATCCTTTGACCCGCATTCGTCAAGTAAGTTCAAACGAAACGGTATATAATTATAACGAGGTACGCAATTCATTAAACTGAAAATTGACATTTTGAAATTGACACTTTGTCAAGAAGTTAATGAAATTAACTAATTTTTAATTGTTAACTTTAAATCGATGAAGACAAACCGACGTCCTTTTCTTCAACCGTTTGAGTCCCAAGCACAGCGCGATCGCGCTGTTCAGATCTTGTGTCGCGATCAAACTTTAGTGACGCACGTACATCGCATAGCTGCTTTTTCTTTCATTTTTTTCCTTTTTGTTTCGTTTGTCAATCTTGACGAGCGCTAACGCGCCGCTTGGTTCTCTTCGCAATCAATTAAGACAAGCGCTGTCACGTTGCTCGGCATTTTTCGACCGTGTTTTTTGAATAATCCCCTTGGACTCAAACGGTTAACCTTTTAGGTACGACTAAATTCTGCGCGAGGCTATTTCTCTGGACGGCAGAGTCTTATGTGTACTGTACAGAGTCTGATACTGTATATACAAGAGGTGTCCGAAAAATGTATCGCAATCCGAAAGTGGCGGGTTGCTCAGGCCATTTGAAGCAACTTTTTCCTTTACAAAAATTTTCTCCGAAGCACCGTTAACGAGTTATTAACGAAAAACAGTGACCAATGAGAGGCGAGCTCGGCTGGCGCGAGGCGGCCGAGCCAGCGGTCGAGCGGTCGAATCCCAGTTTCGCTGACTGTCTCGGTCGCCTCGCGCTAGCTGAGCTTGTCTCTCATTGGTCACTGTTTTTCGATAATAACTCGTTAACGGTGCCTCGGAGAATATTTTTGTAAAGGAAGAAGCTGCTTCAAATGATCCGAGGAACCCGCCATTTCCGGATTGCGAGACATTTTTCGGACTGTTGTAAATCGATGTGAAGACAAAAGAAGTGTGAAACAATGCATGTGAAGACGATTATTTGATTCAAACGATGAGCGAGTGAGCTACTAGAGCAAGCCACTATAGTGGCGCGTCGTCCAGAGAGATGACATCCGCGAAAGCCACTATAGTGGTGCCTAAAAGATTAAGCATTCCTTGTCTTCTCTCTCGTTGTTGGTCTCTTCGTTGCTCGACTAATATAATATTCCGAGTCCTGTCCCTCTGAAGCTGTTCGACGGAAATGAAAGGTTGCGAGGATTTTCTACGGTCCGGCACCGAGTAGTAAATCAGTCGCTTGATTCTACGGAATAATTCGACAGGACGGTGGGAGCAGAGAGACACCGAGGCTTCATGACGGAAGAACACGACTGTAAAGGGGGGCTAAAGACTCGTAAAGTCGAGCGAGGAAAGGGCGTCGGACGGGTCAACATGGCGGAGAATATAAATCTCTCGCCGTCGTTCTCGGTGGCGGCCACCACGAGCGCGCCAGAGTGTATCCGTGTTCGTGCGAGCAAACGAGAGAGAACATGATGCCGGAAAGCCGTAGGTGGAGACGCTGCAAACAAGACCTTCCTGCCATTGTTGCTGGAAACCGTTCGAAACTTTCATTTCGGAAAGCGTCATCCGCTGCTTTCCAGAAGTTTCGCACGTGGTTCCGTCGAATCTACTAAAAGGCACGATGTTGAGGTGACCGGAGACACCGATCAGAGCCGAACTAAGCTTTGCAACCGGGTAACTTGTCGATTAACCCTTTACCGTACATTCGCCGGCCCGACTCGCGATTTCTAGTAACAACTTGTTGAGCGCGAGCGTTGTTTTGTACTTTTTAATAAAATTCTGTGTTCCCTACTTATCGGTATTCGAGCATTCGGGTAAATTTATTTATTATATATTTATTTATTTATTCTAAATATAATAATAATCTAATAGAATAATTATTCTAAATATAATATATTTATTTATTCTTAGCAAAAGCTTCTAATTTACGATGAAATTGCGAAGGCACGTAGAACATGACTCGTTGATTGAAGGTGCAAAGGCGAACAGAACGTATCTGTCAACCTAATCTATAAAGACACATCAAACGTATCTTGTCGATTGAAAGTTTGAAGCCAGAACAAACTTAATTCGTCGATTTCAATTATAAAGGCGTATAGAATACAACTTCTGATTAAAAACGCGACTTAAACGATAAAGGCAGAGAAAACATAATTCGTCGACTAAAAGCGCGAGAAGAAATGTAGAATGTAACTTGTTGATCGAAAGTTTGAAGCCAGACAAAGCCTAATTCGTCGACTTAAACTATAAAAGCGCATAGAACACACTACAAAGGTAAATAAAATCTAATTAGTCGACTTAAACTAAAAAGGCACATCGAACATAACTTGTTGCTCTAAAGTGTAAAGGCAGACGGAACATAATTTATCGACTTGAACAACAAAAGCAGTCGCAACATAATTCGTACGTTGCGTTATATTAAACAATAATGATACATAGAACATGACTCGTTGATTTCAAGTGTGAAGCGAAAATAAATGGCAGCATAATTCCCGGAGCTCCTGCGAATAAGAAGTGCGCCGATTCCGAGGACACGAGCTGCAACAAGATCAATGAAAAAGACATTTGCTCGGAAGCGTCGACGAACGGTTGGTAGAAATGCAGCACGCACGGGCCAGCGAGATAGGAAGTAGTCGAGCCCCGGGGAGAACCTGCGTTCGCGGAGTCGTTTTTCATTATCCGAGCGTCCCGCGGAAAGGCTTGTGGAACCCCGGGGCTCATTTAGGAGCCGGACAATTCCGCGAACAAGCGGTATGCGGCGTGTTTCACGAGCGATCCGGCCGGGCGAAAACACGCGTTCCGAAAATACATACACGCCGCGCGCGTTTTTATTATTCATAAACCCGCCGGTTCCCGGCGGCGCGAGAGCATTTTTGAGCCGCGCCGGCGTTACCGGGCCGCCACGGGCCGCCGCGGGCCGCCGCGGTCCGCCGCGGGAATCGTCACGTACGCGGGCCACGTACACGCACGTCCGTGGAACGCAAGCACGGGTCCTACGCGCTGAGCGATCTGCGTTGTCGCCCGTGGAGACACGCGTGCGTATTTCGTCGCGAACGCTGTCCCGTGCACGCGTTCCTTTCGAGCCGAATCGGACTGAGAACGAGCCGAGAAACCGAAACGACCAATGGAGCCGGCGATTGATGAGCAAAAGCGCGTCGGTGTTGCCGGCACATTTACGAATGCTGCGGCTCATTCCACGCGCATGACCGTTTCGCACAGATTCATCGGTGTTTGTCAAACTCGCAGGAATTTCAGTCGAACAGATCGCTAAATCTCCGCGGCTGCTCGGAAGAACGCCGCAAGTCGCGTGTCTTCGGTCGCCTGTCTCGTCTCCGAGATATTCTCGCTTGAAGTTCCGATCACGTATCTTTTTCGAGTCTACGGAATTTGGTTTTGCGATGTTTCTTTTCTCTGTTTAATATCTAAATCCTATATGTCACTGTTCAATTAACGCATTAACGAACATTTTTTGAAATCGCGACTCGCAGCGTTTTTCCTTGTTGTCACAGAAATAGGCGCTGCGAAGGTCTCGAAAATTCGACCGAAATGTGTCGACACATTGTCCTTTACATTTTGTTCGACAGATATTTGGTTCTAAGTAGGGATGCGATCAAGTATCTCGCAAGCAGGTTCGAACTTCGATTAGTTGAATTCGAACTGTCTATAAGCTATGCCAGATAGTTTCGCACCTTCCACGGTATAGCAAATTCTCCTTAATTTTCGTTCAATTTCTAAACAAAAATGGACAATTTGGGAAGAGAAGATACGTTTATTCGAGCCCGATTTTTATAGTTGCTATAACAATTATAAAAACTATAAAAATCGGGCTCGAACAATCGTATCTCCTCTTCCCAAATAGTCTACTTTTGCTAACAAGCTGAAGGAAAATTGAAGAGAATTTACTGTACTTTGGTAAAAACGGAAGTAATACTCTCAAGTATACTCGAATTTTGTTCCTATAGGTTCGAAACTTGTATGAATATCGTATCAGAAATTCTCCGATCTCTCTCATTATTACATCATTTCCTTAAAACCAATTTGAAATTAGGCACGGAAATAGCAGCGGCGGATCGCGCATGCTTGCGACAGAGCTCCGTCTACCGAGAAAAATCTTCACGTAACTAATAGTCGTTGTGCAGATGAAACTGCTGGTTCATCGTTTGCGCCAAGTTTGCTCGTTGGATCGATGTCTCGGCAAAGTCCACGTTTGATAAGCATACAAAGTTTCTAGAATACAGCTCGATCTGTCGATAAGTCGCACGATTTAATGCATTCACGAGCCGTTCCTATTTCTGACAGTCAGCTTTTACCAATTCATCGCCGATGAATCGACTGTAGATTTTGCGCATTCACGGCGAAAGTTAGGAGACGAAGTGCAAACGGAAGAGTTGCAGTAACTGCGATGCCTTGTTTGATTTTAGATGACGTCGTTGGACGTGCATGTCGCGAGCAATGGACACGAAACTATCGAAAAGAAGTCCCTGTTTCTTGCAATCGATGTTGACCATTTACATTTACATAGAAATTCGCAGCGAATACATAATAATAAGTACCGTTTTTGGGGCGGAGCAAATTTTCTCCAGTCATCTTTACTTGCACGGAGCTCGCGAAGCCGTTGAATCCTGTTTGAAGCTCCACGGGTCTAACAATTGTATTAATAATGCTGACACAATTTTCTTGTCAAACTCGGAACTCGATTTTTAGTACAGTCTATTGAATAAATCAAAATTGCTTTGCATCTACAAGATTCGAGAGTACTGCAACAAATCTTTTTCTACAACAAATCTTGTCTCCTTTGTTCTTACATTATGAAATAGGTCGTTCCGACTCCGTGTGACTTTTATAGACATTTCTGCTGGCAGTCAACGTGTTGACCAACTGTTGGCAACGGCTAATCGTTTTAGTGACGCTGTTGATTTCTTCTGCCCCTTTCATTGCACATTCGAAACCTCAGTTTTGCGTGCACTAGGTCATCCATAGCATTTTATCAAATTAACCCCTTGACATACCATTTTCTTCGCAGTTGCTGCGATTAGAAATTTTTAGATCGCAATA